TCTATACTATATATTAAGCAAAATGAAATTTTTAACCCCAAGCATTGTGGGAGTTCCAATCTTCCAATCTAAATTTTTTGATTTTTTGATTTAAAAAAAAAGAAAAATCTTAGCATTTGTTAACTTCTCCCAACTTCCAAGTCTTAGCCTCATAATAACACTTTAATGCATTAAGAACAAACATAAAAAAAATTCTTTGAAATCCAACACATATAAATTCCTTGAAAAGTCTAAACACATATAATTATTATTCCTCATAATAACACTTTAATGCATTAAAAACAAATATAAAAAAAATTCTTGAAAAGTCCAACACATATGATCATTATCAAAATATTAAACTTTAATATAATATAAAAAAGGGAAAAAAAAAGATATTTAAAATAAAATAAAAAAGAAAACATTTAAAAATCACAATACACATATATAGATAATTATAAACACAATCCGTGCATAGCACGGGTGATATGCTAGTACTATATATTAAGCAAAAGAGAGTTTTTAACTCCTAAGGTTTGTGGGAGTTTCAATATCCCAATTTGAATTTTCTATATTTTTGTATTTTTTATTTAAAAAAAAACTCAGTATTTATTGATTTGGTCAAAATTCCCTGATCAGCATTTATTAACTTTTGTCAATCCACATGTTTTTCTACATGTCTGCATTTATTGATTTGGTCAAAATCCCTTGATCAACATTTAAAATCTCCTCATACAAATAATTATAGATACAATCCTGTATAGTTATTGCAATACTATTTTCAACTTTTCCCATATACTATAATTAGTGATAAGATTGTTAAATTATTTTTATAAAAAATCTTAAAAAACATAATTTATATATTAAAAAAAAATCTAAAACAAATATAAATAAGCACGGGTGACAGGCTAGTACTATCTATACTATATATTAACCAAAATGGGGTTTTTAACTCCAAGCCTTGTGGGAGCTCCAATCTCCCAATCTAAATTTTTTAATTTTTTGATTTAAAAAAAAAAAAAACCATAGCATTTATGAACTTCTCCTAACCCCCAAATCTTACCCTCATAATAACACTTTAATGCATTAAGAACAAACATAAAAAAAAAAATTATTTGAAATCCAACACATATGAATTCCTTGAAAAGTCCCAACACATATGATTGTTATTCCTCATAATAACACTCTAATGCATTAAGAACAAGCATAAAAAAAATTATTGAAAAGTCCAACACATATGATTATTATCAAAATATTAAATTTTAATATAATATAATTTTTGATGTAGATGTCAGTTTGTAATAAAATTAGTATTTTTAGAATTCTCTATCAAATAAGATCCATGTTGACTATGAAATTCTTAATATATATATATATATATATTATTACCGTTGAAAGTGAAGTAAATAGTAACATGTTACTTTGTTTGACAGTTACTCTGTTTGACAGTAACATGTTATTTTGTTTCACAATAACATGTTACTTTGTTTAATAGTAATATATTACTCTAGTTCACAGTAACATAACATGTTACCCTAATAATATTGTCCAAGAAATAAAGAAAAAAAAAGGATATTTTACTTTGTCCTTAATAATGTATTTTTTCCTTAGAGGGTTTATGAAACAAAATAAATTGGGCTGTTATTTTCACTAAATAAGGGTCCAATTAAGGGGTTTTGGCTAAATTTCCCAAGTCTTTTTGACTTTTCCCATACCTACTACCGCATCCTTTTCAACTTCTTCCATACACTATGGTTAGTGATGAGATTGTTAAATTATTTTTATAAAAAATCTAAAAAAAATAATTTATATATTAAAAAAATATCTAAAACAAATATAAATTTTTATTAAAAAATAACATGTGGCAATTGCGGGAAAAAAAAAAATTTGCACTGTGCATTTCATTAATAATGCTTAAAAGATGTGACAAATGTTTGTGTAAAAGCTTGACACGTGTCTACTCTCAAATTATCAAGTGAATATAAATGAAATCCAAGAACTCAACTTTAATGGCTAATAAATATTAGAAGCTCGACAATTGAAACCTTACAACTATTAATTAATAGAATTCAACAATTGAAAGGTCTCAAGCAATATCACTTTGTCTTCTCAAATATTTCATTTTTTTGGTTCATGCATTCATTTTAATATTGATAGAGAATTAAACGTGTGGAAGAGTGAGCGACAATAAAATTATATATTGAGATATGTAATTGTTGTGACGAAAAATAAAAATTGTCTTCCTTTTTCTATGGCGATTTATCTGGTTATATCTGCAATTAAAACGTCAGGTGTGCTTCTACATCATCATTGAACGTTACTTTTATTTTTTTTAGATATTTTGTCTCACAATTGTTTGTATTTTGTGTTATGAAATTTATTACATCTGTATTTGCTAAAACTATTGGATGGACCTAATACAAGAAGTGTAGACTGTTTCAATGTCATTCTCAGGATTAGAAATATAAAAAAATATACACAAAAAGTATATGAATAGACAAGATTTTACAAAATTTATTTGCGAGTCTCACTTCTTGAAAATTCTATAATTTCTTTATTTTTTGTATTATATTCTATGTTTGGTTTCTGTATTTTTTTTTTATATAGTTTTCTTTGTTTTCTTTAAAAGTTTATTTTAAAAAATTAATGAATAAATAAGTAAATGATTTTCTATTTCAAACAATTTCATTTTTGTTTTTATTTTTTATTTTTTCTTAAAGTAGTTTTAGTTTTGGGCAATTATTTACTTTTTTTTTATTTTATATATATTGTAATTTTGTACATTTTAAGTGTATGATATTTTCACTAATACACTTGGAAATGCACTATGAAAGAAGTATTATGCGAAAATCAAGTAAGAAGAAGAAAAATAAATAAAACAATACGATAAATGTGAAGCAAAGATGAAAGATTAAAACTCCCAAAGCAAATAAGTAAATAAACAAGCAAGTAGAATAAAATGTTTAACAATAGACATTTGAAAATTTGCAACAAAATTTTATAACTTTTCTTTTTGCTAAGAAAATTCTATTTGGTACTAGCTAAATAAAATAATATATATTTTTTTAATTTGAAATTAAAACTATAGTAAATTTATATAAGCAAAATTGCTAATCACATTTTTTTACTTAATGTATAATATTATATTGGCCACCTTTTTAAGGTTTATTTTTTTAACTATTTATATAGAAGTAAAAAAATGTCGTTAGGAATAAATTTTTCCTTAATTTAGTTATAAAATTTGCCCATACATTATTTTTAAATTTAAATAAAAGCAAATATAAAATAATTGATTGAAAATATGCTACATTTGTTATATTTCTTTTTTTGTCTGCAAAAAAAAAAAAAGACATTTAAAAATCACAATTCACATATATATAAATAATTGTAAACACACGGGTGAAACACTAGTTAATTTTATATATTGATACTATCTATAATATTACTAATTCGATAGTATACAAACAAACATTCTTTATCATATATCTCTAACTTAATATCACCACACTATAATAGTCTCATCATTTAATCTCATTATATTCTTTAATTCCTTTTATCTTATAGAGCCAAACAAACGTGATCTTAAGTCTTACAAGATTGAATTTTGAAGAACATCTTCAATTCTCTATCTTTTATTTTATTAAATTTAAATTTGATGAATTTTTTTAAAAAATATTCATCAAATCAAGAGAGAATCATTTTATTTATCAAATTGAAAAAATATAAAATTCTTAATTAAATTTGAATTTAATGAACATTTAAAAAGATAAAATATTAGAAATAATTTTTTTTCCTATCAAATTTGATAAAAAAATATAGAATAAAAGAAGAATTTTTAAAAAGATTTTAATAAAAAAATAATGAAAAAAATTGAAGTATTTTATATTAAATTAAATTTTTTACTCAAATTTAAAATTAATTTAGATGAGTTAAAGATTTGGGTTGTGCTACAATTAAGACCCTTCTCAGGTATAAACCCTAGCTTGAAGCCCATAGAAATAGGAGAGAGAGAGGGAGAAGAAGAAGACGAAGAAGTAGCTGTCGTTGAAGCTGTGTCCATGGACGTCGTCGCGTCCGGAGCTCTATGTTCAGGTCAGTCACCACCGAAGCTTTCTCTTTGTTTCTCTCTCTTTTTATCTTCTTCGTCTTTCTGTCCTCTTTGTATTCAAAGAACCTAAGTACGTGAAAAAAAATGTTTTCTTTTCTTAATTTTTGTCATTTTTTGCTTATGATTCTGCTTAGATTTTGAATTTATTGCTTATGCCCATACTTATTCTATATGAATGCAAGTTCTTAATTTTTATTGTTATGCTTTAGGAAACAAAAAATTAGTTACTGTGATTGGAAGATTTTGAATGCTACTTCCTGTAAATGAATTTGAAAATATAAACATTCCAAAAAGTTGAAGTCTTCAAACAGGACAGCACATCAAAGTGGAAGTGTGAAACCCTGCTTCACCTAATTGAAAATTCTCTTGATAATGCAAGTCAGTACATTGGTGAGTTGCACATTGTCAAACAACTATCTATTACAAGATAGGGAGATGAGTACTCTATTCCTCGTTTTATAGTTTGTTTTACTTACAATTGGTAGGATGGGAATAGGGATAGGAAGGGAAAACTGCATAGCATATTGATAAGACACTAACCCAGGACAGGCACATGACACCACATAAATTTTCAAAAAATACAAAACACACGATATGTAGAGGACACATGCAAAATATATAATTTTATATATTAATTATATGAATATTTAAGTGAAAGATAATAATTTTTAAAGTCTTAAGGGAGAAAAACATGTATAAATTGACATTGTTTTTGTTTTATCTTTGAATTCCAAGTTAGTTTATTCAAACGTGTAATGTGTTTCATGTGTGTCAATGTTGGGAAGTGTCCAAGCGCCATGTTGGACCCGACACGTTACTTTTTTAGAAGTGTGTGTGTGTTTCTTAGCCATGCATCACTCCTGGTAAGGGAGCAAGTCATCCACCAGGTTAACATCTTGGTCTTAATGCACTCCTCACTGAAGTAGGTAGAGTTTCAGCTCATTTATATGTGAGTTCGCAAGATATTGTGGCCTTGATGTAACATTTCCATCCTCATTAACTATCCATAATTAGGTATATGACAAATTGGTTTATTTATGCATATAACACAGAAGTCTGCAGTTAGAACTGCCTTTATTCATTTTAAGTTATGAACAAATGAGCTAAGACCCTAAATATTTTGTGTTTGCAAACTGTTGAAATAAATAACTTATTCCTTCTACTTGGGGTTAATTTTGTTGATCATCTTCGCCATTTTGCTTCACAAAGAGTCACCTATTAGTATTTTGAATTTTGTAATGTTATCATATGCTTCAAATAACATATTTCACCTATTCACTAAAAAAATCGTTTCTGCACAAGACTACCGCTTACAGGAAAGTCTGGGAGAGGTAGTAGACAGGTAGCATTACCCTCACTTTTTAGTGAAGAGGCCACATAGCACTTGCACTGACATCGTGTAGGTTTTTACTTCTATTTTTCATACCCCCTCGATCCTTGTTAATGCCTCTAGTAGGTTGGAAGCATATGACTCGGTGATGTTATTTACTGTGTCACCGGTGGTGCCTGTAGTGGCTTTAGTAGTTCAAAATCCTGTTACCTTTCACATTGGCACAATCTTTAATCATTGCACATGATTATATTATTCATTTCACCATTGTTTTGCTCTCATCCTCAGCATGTGCTATATCTAAACTTATTTATCAAAAAAAAGAAAAAGAAAAAAAGTGTGCTATATATCTAAACTCACTAATTCTTTGTTTGTTGTTTCTTTCCATGGTTTTGAACTTATGCATTGTAAACATCCTGGGTTTAGTTAACTGTAATTTATAGAAATATTATTTGTCTATTTTGACTAATAGTCTGTGCTACAAGGCATGGCTATTCTTGTGGCCATCTTGGGTATCACCAACCTGTCAAGTTAATTTCTCATTTCTAGTTAGTGTATGAGCATTTACTACTTACCTTTGAAATAAGAAAGGGTATTGTATGGAAATGAAATCTAGCATTTATGCAACTGTGTAATGTTGTTTTGCAAATTAGGACATAATAAATTCTTGTCTTGGGGAAGATTATACTCATGTTTCCCTTGTCAGCATAAATCTAATTTGTATTATGTGCCATTTAAGTATTTTCATTTTGTATTAGTCATGCCACTACTGGTTCAAAAGGTTTAGCAAAATTGTCACGACTTAGTACAAATCTTCTAGTTCCTGATCTAGTTGCTCTCGTCTGCAGGAAATGCTTTTGCACTGTAGGAACCTACCTACTTTCTAGTGTATGAGCCATCCATGTCTGCTATTTTTAAAGTCTGAAGTATAATCCCAGAATGTCACTTCACTGGGATATAGCTCAGTAATCTGGATCTTGTTAGATTACTTCATAGCTCGAGAAGGGTTGATTTGCTTTATTCAGCACCATGACAGAAATCTTGTGCTACACAGCTTTCAGACAGCTGTTGCAAATGTTCTTGGCTATAATCTTCTTCCATATTTCTGAATACATTTTGGCAATTTCCATCCATGGTAGATCAAGCGTGACTCTTACGTCTCTTTTAATTAGCAAAAACTATCTCGTGGCAATGATTTGTTCATTGCTAGAGTACCTTCTTGAAGTTTACTTTTTCCCCGGGTTGAAGGAATACTGGTGGATTAGCAACTTGGGGCTTGTAATGGTTGTAATTGGGGAAATCATACGGAAGGTGGCGATTGTAACAGCTGGTCAGGCCTTCACTCATCGCATTAAGATTTATCATGAGGAGCATCACAAACTGGTTACTAGTGGAGTATATAGATTTGCTCGTCATCCAGGGTATTGTGGGTTTTTCATTTGGTCAGTAGGCACGCAGATAATGGTTTGTAATCCGCTATCAACGATTGCATTTACCATTGTTGTTTGGAGCTTTTTTGCAAAACGGATACCATATGAGGAGTTTTTCTTGAGGCAGTTTTTTGGCTCAGAGTATGATGAATATGCCCGTCGAGTTCCTTCTGGGGTTCCATTTGTGAGCTGAAAAATCTGCAATGTTTTTTACCAGATTTCCTCAAGAAAGCAGCTTTATATCTACCAATTCCTGTGAAGATATTTTAAGTGGCAGCTTGGCTCTCACTCTTCTTGTGATACATAAATTGGAATGTGGAATATCAATCAGACTGATCCCAAACCATTTTTCTTCGTACTATTATTATTTGAAAATGTAGGAGGATAGGTTTGGTGTGCATTGCTTGTAATCTTCGGTCATGTTTGTTTAAGTGGACATGAGTTTGAGATTGGACTAATAGTTTAATAAAATTATTAATCCGATGTTTGGTTAAACAATTGAATAATTATTTTACACTTGACTATTAGTTAAGATAGGATACATAATCCAACGGATTCGTAGTCCTAGGACTATTAGTCATGGGAATGCTAATCCAGTCCGCCCAAACAAACATGGCCTTATAGTAACAACAAGGATTCAGAAAGTTGCTCTTATCATGGCTACACTTCCTATACACCACATGGCTCGTTTGTCAGAGGATGATTCTTGGTCCTTGTTTAAACGACGCGCATTCGGCAACGAAAGGAGAGAGGAAAACCTTCAATTGGGTCTCATTGGGAAGGAAATAGTGAAAAAATGCAAAGGGTTACCCTTAGCAATAAAGGCTTTGGGAAGCCTCATGCAATTTAAAAGAAGTGAAAGTGAATGGTTGTCTGTGAAGGACAGTGAGATTTGGGATTTGCCAGATGATGGAAGTAATATTTTACCTGCTTTGAGGTTGAGCTATGAAGCCTTACCTCCACATTTGAGGCAATGTTTTACTTATTGTTGTATATTCCCCAAAGACTATAGAATGGAGAACAGCATGCTGATAGAGTTGTGGATGGCAAATGATTTTATTCCATCTAAAGGACAAATGAGGTTACATGATATGGGCCATGACATTTTCAGGGACTTGGTTTCGAGGTCATTCTTCCAAGATGTAAAAGAGTCCAATAGTGGAACAATATTTTGTAAAATGCACGATCTTATGCATGATCTTGCACAATCTATTATGAGATATGAATGCTCTATTATGGAGCCTCACGAGGGCATGAAAATTCGAGATAAAATTCGTCACTTGTCTTTTAATATTGTTGGTTTTGGAGAGACGGTTCCTTGGAATGAGATTGTATTTGAAGTCCCATCTTTGCGGTCTGTCTTAATATTCGAGTCTTTCATTCCAAATTCCAAGGACAATATTGCTTCACCTTGCATTTCAAAACAAAAGTATCTTAGAGTGTTGGATTTTGGTAGAAATGTTGATGAGAAGTTGTCAATGTCAATTTCCAATTTTAGCCATCTTAGGTACCTGGACATGTCATGCTCTAATATAGAAATTCTGCCAGAATCAATAAGTAATCTCCAAAGCCTGCAGACATTGAAGCTAGAACATTGCCGACGACTTCGTAAGTTGCCCAAACGCATGAAGCACATGAGAAATCTCACTTACTTGGACATCACAGGGTGTGATTCTCTTACTTCTATGCCTGACCAAATGGGACAATTAACTTGCCTACAAAGACTAAGCATGTTCCTTGTGGGCCAAGATGAGGGTTACCAAGTTGGTGAGCTGAAAGAATTAAATCTCGGGGGTACATTGAGCATAAAGAGACTTGAGAACGTAAGAAATTCAGAAGAGGCCAAGAAGGCCAATTTGAAGGGGAAACATGATCTTATTTCTCAATGTAAAAAAATTCTTGTTGAAAATGGATAGTTAAATTATTATCAACAATACTGATATAATTGGGCGCTGTATATTGATGATTAATTTTGGCTAAATTGTGAATAACTTTTACGTTCTGGATTATAGCAGGTTTTGGTTAAAATTTTGATACTTTTTGAGTTGTAATTGTATACAAATGTTCCACCAGGATGTAATAGCTGTACAGAAATCTCATCCAATTCTAGTCCAAACACCAGCGAAAATCTATACCCAAGGCCAAGGCATGAAATCTATTATGCCCAAGTACAACTTATTTGGTTCGGATATCAACTTCTGAACAAAATTACATGGTTCGGAAATCAAATTTTGAACAAAAACCTATGGTTAGGCTATATCTTTTGGTTTGGAAGTTGATTTCTGAACTATAGGTTTTGGTTCAGAAGCTGATTTCTGAAACATAGGTTTTGGTTATCAAGTAGTTTTGTTCGGAAGATGATATCCGAATGAAAAATGATGTGTGAACTGAAAGAAAGTAGTGTGTGGAAATAGAAGCTCCCCCATATGGTTCCACATTTTTTCAGCCCATATGCATTTATTTAGACCTTTTATCTGGCATGAAGGTATCCCTTTATCCTTCTTCCACTCACAGAAGAGGGTGCATCTCTGTGCAAGTGTCTTTAAGTCCTAAACCTTATAGTAAGATTGTGGGGAAAGAAAATAGTAAGTTTCTGTTTCAAACCTTCACAATGTGATCAACAGCCTTGTAAGCTGAATCAACTGGCCCTGTTCCATTTGCACAAACAATATGCTCTTCCCCATCTGCATCAATGAGTTTAACAGTTGCCATAGGAAGACCAAGAGTTCCACATGTAACCTGTTTGTCAGGTCACTTCCAACTAATTGTTAGAGCCATAGCTTAAACGAATAATGAATAAGTTCAAACTCGAGAGTCTATGCATACTTGAACATCTCCAAGCTTCCAAACAACTTGTGGCTGAAAAACTACATCTGACACCAGTGCCTTCAGATCATCATCGGTAATATTCTGGGACCAAACCAAATAATTTATGATTGAGTGTCTTAATTCAGAATACACAGATAACATTATACCAGTGATAACAGTAAAGTGAAGTAAAGTGGATTTGTGTTTTTTGTGTCCATACAAGTGTGAAGAGTAGGTTATACCTTTTTCATTTATTTTAATAACTAAAAGATTTATTGATAGAAGTAAAGGTCCTGAGGGAGTGCCTATCCAATATACAAGAACAGAGATCTAACAACTTTACACCAAAAACCTAAACCTATTCAAAGGCACAAAGTCCAAACCCCGAGAACCAAACTATACAGCAAAGAAAAAATAATCTTGATTATAAAAACAGGTCATTTCACAATAAGTACAACCACAATACATGGATTAGCATTATAGCAAAGAATTCGCAGACAAAATTTGCATTAGAGCAAAGATTTCGCAGACAAATAGCATTTTCACAAGAAGTAGAACCACAATACATGGATACATGATACTTCCCAGCTCTAAATCTATTTGGCAGAGTGAAGAACAACTTTGCCAAAATTTGTTTTGCTTTCGTCCATCATTTACTTGAGATTGCCAACATTATTTATTAAGGCAAAGAAGATGAAGCACCCTGACTTCAATGCTCCTCCTATCACAAAGCATCATTGGCATGTAATCCATGATAAATCTAAACTACTCCATTTTGTGGCCATACGGGTCCTTAAAATGAAACCAGTTACATCTATGTCTTTGCAATATATATTTTTAACTAATTGATTCAGGGATATCAACCACCATTGTAAAGTACAAGTTATTCCCCTCTACCTTTTTCTTTTCAGCTACAGCTTTGAAACGCCAGAAGAGACCATCAAGTTCCTTACCATCAATATCATAACCCAGCTGAAACAGCGAAGTAGAACATTAATGCTCGAGATCAAAGAGGATTTTAAACAATTCTCTGAGGAAAACATGAAAATTACACTGTACCTCCGAAAGTCGAGTTTTCAAAGCATGGCGTCCACTGCACCCAAAAGTTTTCACAAAAAATGGAATGAAATTACTCAACATATATATATACATAATAATCTAGAGAAAGAGATATGCAATCCACCAAGTACCAACACTCATCATATTAGCACCATACACTATTTACTATTCTCTCATAAAATAAATAACACAGAATATCCACCATTATTGCATTGCAAGAGTACAAATTTTATACAAGAAGAATATTTATTGCTAGCACGATTAGAAACTCAGGCTTACACAATAATCTCCCTCTATTAAAATTTAACTGTGGAAGGCCACGACAAGTTCTTTTGACTAGCATGATTCATTTGATTTTTTTGGCACCAAGTCATTTCTGTATGGTTCACCAAAAGATTGATTAATTACTATCTTATTTGGACTTGCGGATTTACTAGATGGACGTTATGTTAATTTTAGAAGAGAAAAAGTTAGGGTATGAGTGGTTTATCATACCCTTTTATATTAAATCATAAACATAAGTTAAGGCCTAAATAAAGGCCCATTACAGCAAATAAAGAGACTGAATGAGAATAAAAATAGGAAATATCCTAACACATTCTAACACTCCCCCTTAAGCTGATGCGAAGATATCTTTCATGCCCAGCTTGTCGAGAATGTCACGGAACGGTTTAATCCTTAATCTTTTGGTAAGAACATCAGCCAATTGAACCCCAAACCGCACGAAAGGCGTACATATAGTGCCACTAGTAAGCTTTTCCTTGATAAAATGCCGATCAATCTCCACATGTTTGGTCCGATCATGTTGAACCGGATTGTGGGCTATATTAATGGCGGCCTTATTGTCACAGTATAGCCTCATAGAATCTGTCTGATGAATCCCCAAATCCCGCAACAATAATCTAATCCATAAAAGCTCACACACACCGTGAGCCATAACTCTGAATTCGGCCTCTGCACTAGACCGCGCAACAACATTTTGTTTCTTGCTTCTCCAAGTAACTAGATTTCCGCCAACGAAGGTACAATAGCCAGAGGTGGATCTTCTATCAGTTACTGAGCCAGCCTAATCAGCATCTGTATATGCCTCCACACTGAGATGACCATGCTTTAAGAAATAAAGACCCTTTCCCGGAGAAGACTTCAAGTATCTCAGAATCCGCATAACCGCCTCTAAGTGAGTTGCACGTGGAGCATGCATAAACTGACTAACCATACTCACTGCAATAGCAATATCAGGCCGCGAATGGGATAAGTAAATAAGCTTACCCACCAGTCTTTGGTATCTCCCCCTGTCTACAGGCTTGCCCCCTTGATCCTCGCTAAGCTTTAGTCCGGGCTCTAGTGGTGTATCACATGCTTTACTTCCAAGCATTCCCGTTTCTTTTAGCAAATCAAGCACATACTTTCGTTGACATATGAACTTATTTGGTTCGGATATCAACTTCTGAACAAAATTACATGGTTCGGAAATCAACTTTTGAACAAAAACCTATGGTTAGGCTATATCTTTTGGTTTGGAAGTTGATTTCTGAACTATAGGTTTTGGTTATCAAGTAGTTTTGTTCGGAAGATGATATCCGAATGAAAAATGATGTGTGAACTGAAAGAAAGTAGTGTGTGGAAATATAAGATCCCCCATATGGTTCCACATTTTTTCAGCCCATATCCATATATTTAGACCTTTTATCTGGCATGAAGGTATCCCTTTATCCTTCTTCCACTCACAGAAGAGGGTGCATCTTTGTGCAAGTGTCTTTAAGTCCTAAACCTTATAGTAAGATTGTGGGGAAAGAAAATAGTAAGTTTCTGTTTCAAACCTTCACAATGTGATCAACAGCCTTGTAAGCTGAATCAACTGGCCCTGTTCCATTTGCACAAGCAATATGCTCTTCCCCTTCTGCATCAATGAGTTTAACAGTTGCCATAGGAAGACCAAGAGTTCCACATGTAACCTGTTTGTCAGGTCACTTCCAACTAATTGTTAGAGCCATAGCTTAAACGAATAATGAATAAGTTGAAACTCGAGAGTCTATGCATACTTGAACATCTCCAAGCTTCCAAACAACTTGTGGCTGAAAAACTACATCTGACACCAGTGCCTTCAGATCATCATCGGTAATATTCTGGGACCAAACCAAATAATTTATGATTGAGTGTCTTAATTCAGAATACACAGATAACATTATAACAGTGATAACAGTAAAGTGAAGTAAAGTGGATTTGTGTTTTTTGTGTCCATACAAGTGTGAAGAGTAGGTTATACCTTTTTTATTTATTTTAATAACTAAGAGATTTATTGATAGAAGTAAAGGTTCTGAGGGAGTGCCTATCCAATATACAAGAACAGAGATCTAACAACTTTACACCAAAAACCTAAACCTATTCAAAGGCACAACGTCCAAACCCCGAGAACCAAACTATACAGCAAAGACAAAAAATAATGTTGATTATAAAAACAGGTCTTTTCACAATAAGTACAACCACAATACATGGATTAGCATTATAGCAAAGAATTCGCAGACAAAATTTGCATTAGAGCATTATAGCAAATATTTCGCAGACAAATAGCATTTTCACAAGAAGTAGAACCACAATACATGGATACATGATACTTCCCAGCTCTAAATCTATTTGGCAGAGTGAAGAACAACTTTGCCAAAATTTGTTTTGCTTTTTGTCCATCATTTACTTGAGATTGCCAACATTATTTATTAAGGCAAAGAAGATGAAGCATGCTGACTACAATGCTTCTCCTATCACAAAGCATCATTGGCATGTAATCCATGATAAATCTAAACTAGTCCATTTTGTGGCCGTACGGGTCCTTAAAATGAAACCTGTTACACCTATGTCTTTGCAATATATATTTTTAACTAATTGATTTAGGGATATCAACCACCATTGTAAAGTACAAGTTATTCCCCTCTACCTTTTTCTTTTCAGCTATAGCTTTGAAACGCCAGAAGAGACCATCGAGTTCCTTACCATCAATATCATAACCCAGCTGAAACAGCGAAGTAGAGCATTAATGCTTGAGATCAAAGAGGATTTTAAACAATTTTCTGAGAAAAACATGAAAATTACACTTTACCTCCGAAAGTCTAGTTTTCAAAGCATGGCGTCCGCTGCACCCAAAAGTTTTCACAAAAAATGGAATGAAATTACTCAACATATATATATATATATGTAATAATCTAGAGAAAGAGATATTCAATCCACCAAGTACCAACACTCATCATATTAGCACCATACACTATTTACTATTCTCTCATAAAATAAATAACACAGAATATCCACCATTATTGCATTGCAAGAGTACAAATTTTATACAAGAAGAATATTTATTGCTAGCACGATTAGAAACTCAGGCTTACACAATAATCTCCCTCTATTAAAATTTAACTGTGAAAGGCCACGACAAGTTCTTTTGACTAGCATGATTCATTTGATTTTTTTGGCACCAAGTCATTTCTGTATGGTTCACCAAAAGATTGATTAATTACTATCTTATTTGGACTTGCGGATTTACTAGATGGACGTTGTGTTAATTTTAGAAGAGAAAAAGTTAGGGTATGAGTGGTTTATCATACCCTTTTATATTAAATCATAAACATAAGTTAAGGCCTAAATAAAGGCCCATTACAGCAAATAAAGAGACTGAATGAGAATAAAAATAGGAAATATCCTAACACATTCTAACACTCCCCCTTAAGCTGGTGCGAAGATATCTTTCATGCCCAGCTTGTCGAGAATGTCACGGAACGGTTTAATCCCTAATCCTTTGGTAAGAACATCAGCCAATTGATCCCCAGACCGCACGAAAGGCGTACATATAGTGCCACTAGTAAGCTTTTCCTTGATAAAATGCCGATCAATCTCCACATGTTTGGTCCGATCATGTTGAACCGGATTGTGGGCTATATTAATGGCGGCCTTATTGTCACAGTATAGCCTCAGATTGTGGGCTATATTAATGGCGGTCTTATTGTCACAGTATAGCCTCATAGAATCTGTCTGATGAATCCCCAAATCCCGCAATAAAAATCTAATCCATAAAAGCTCACACACACCGTGAGCCATAGCTCTGAATTCGGCCTCTGCACTAGACCGCGTAACAACATTTTGTTTCTTGCTTCTCCAAGTAACTAGATTTCCGCCAACGAAGGTACAATAGCCAGAGGTGGATCTTCTATCAGTTACTGAGCCAGCCTAATCAGCATCTGTATATGCCTCCACACTGAGATGACCATGCTTTAAGAAATAAAGACCCTTTCCCGGAGAAGACTTCAAGTATCTCAGAATCCGCATAACAGCCTCTAAGTGAGTTGCACGTGGAGCATGCATAAACTGACTAACTATACTCACTGCAATAGCAATATCAGGCCGCGAATGGGATAAGTAAATAAGCTTACCCACCAGTCTCTGGTATCTCCCCCTGTCTACAGGCATGCCTCCTTGATCCTCACTAAGCTTTAGTTCAGGCTCTAGTGGTGTATCACATGCTTTACTTCCAAGCATTCTCGTTTCTTTTAGCAAATCAAGCATATACTTTCGTTGACATATGAAAATACCATCTTTGGATCGAGCAACCTCAATGCCTAGAAAGTACTTCAAGTTGCCTAAGTCTTTGATTTCAAACTCATTAGCCAAATACTCCTTTAACCGAGGAACCTCCTCAACATCATCCCCTCTGAGTACAATATCATCCACATAGACAATGAGGGCTGTCGTTTTACCATGTGAGGAGTGTTTCACAAACAAAGTATGATCAGCTTGACTCTGTTTGAAACCATATCTCAACATGGCCTGAGTAAACCTCTCAAACCAAGCCCTAGGAGATTGCTTAAGGCCATAAAGTGACTTGCGTAACCGGCACACCTTTCCTGTGGTTTTAACATCCTCAAAGCCAGGGGGAATGTCCATGTACACTTCTTCTGCTAGATCTCCATAAAGGAAAGCATTTTTCACATCAAATTGATGGAGAGGCCAGTCAAGATTAGAGGCAAGGGAGAGAAGGACTCTGACAGAATTCATCTTAGCAACCGGTGCAAATGTCTTATGGTAGTCTACTCCATAAGTCTGAGTAAAACCCTTGGCCATCAATCTAGCCTTGTAACGTTCAATTGAACCATCGGTTTTGTGCTTTACAGTGTACACCCACTTACATCCAACAGGTCGTTTGCCCTTAGGTAACGCGGCCAATTCCCAAGTGCCATTTTTAGCAAGCGCTCTCATCTCCTCCATCATGGCATGCTTCCACTCAACAGTAGAAAGAGTATCCTGAAAATTGGAAGGAAGACTCACAGAAGAAACTTTAGACAGAAAAACTTTATAGGAAGAAGACAGATTAGTGTAGGAGATAAAATGAGAAATAGGATGTTGAGTACAAGACCTAACCCCCTTCTTTTTAGCAATGGGAACATCTAGATCAGAAAGAATTGAGTTACCTGGAGGTTCACCATGTTAATCATATTATTTAATTTTGATGATGTCTAAAATATTATTTGTAACAATTTGGATTTTTTTAATATACATATTATTTGATACAAAATATTATCTTTTTAAAAATATATATATTTGTTAAATATTATAATAAAAATATTTTTGAAAACTTTACTATTCACTTTTTGAAAATTTAGGCTGATACAACCTTTCTTTTTGACAAAATTAAAATTGATTAAAAATTATTTGTTAAATATTATTTAAATAAAATAATATTATCTTTTTAAAATATATATATTTGTTAAATATTATTTAAATAAAATAATATTATCTTTTTAAAATATATATATTTGTTAAATATTATTTAAATAAAATAATATTATCTTTTTAAAATATATATGTTAAATATTATTTTAAATATTTTCAAAAACTTTACTATTCACTTTTTGAAAAATATGGTTAATTACTATTCATCTTTTGACAAATTGATTAATTATATTATTTTGACAAAAATGATTGATTGGTTGTATTATTTTGACAAATTTGATATTTATGGGTTGTCTTATTTTGACAAAATTAATATGGAGTGGTAAAATATTTAGTATAAAATCTTTACAACATATACAATATTTTAAAGAGGATATATATTTTCAGATCCATCATAAATATAATTTTTTCTGTATGCAAAATTTTGATCAGAACTTATATAACATTATATGCAGAATACATCACGTGCGCTATTAAATTTTTTACACTACATTGATTATATTATATTATAATCAAACAAAAGAAGAAAAAGATGGAGTTATATATATGTGTGTATATATATATATTATAAACTAGATGGAGAAAATTATTTGTTTGTTTGAAAGTTGTGAACTTTGTATTAAATTGTCTACAAAAACGGTGGCTCCATGTTTGAAAAAAACAAGAAGAAAAAATCAATCTTATTTTTATCTTTTTAATTCTTATCATTTGCTGACTATTTAAATTTAAGGAGTGTGCTTATGTAAGCAATGACATCAAGAGCCTGCTTATGTAAGCGATGACATCAGGAGCGTGCTTATGTAAGCGATGACGTCAGGAGCGTGCTTATGTAAGCGATGACGTCAGGAGCGTGCTTATGTAAGCCATGACGTCAGCAAGGAGTGTCCAACGGGTATATTTTTGTGTATAAATAGAGGTGTTGGATGTGGAGAAAAAATCAAGAACTTGAAGAGAAAATTTTCTGTGAGCTCCAAATTGTATTCTTCTCTTTCACTTTCAGATCTAAGTCTAGTTTTTGTTCTTACACTTTCATATCTACTCTTTGTGAGAGAATTATTGTAAAAGTTGGTTCAATTACCACTTATTCTTATTCCTTATTTTTGTGAGAGATTTTGTAAGGGTAGGGCATTTATTGTTGAGTGAGGCTCAATAGATAAGAGTAAGTCCTGTGCCAAATCCACAAGCTTGGTGGTGTATTTATTCAATTGATAGTAAAGAAATTCTCAAGGAGGTTCCTTGGGGAGTGGACGTAGGCCTGGCGTGCCGAACCACTATAAATCGCAGTGTTTGATTTTCTCTCCCTATCTCTCCTACTTTTATATTGATAATTATTATTCTGTTTATTTTTATTTATTCAAATTCTGAAAATTGTGTTATTTTTAATATTGTGAAATTTTTAATAACCCAATTCACCCCCCCTCTTGGGTTGCCTAACTGGGATAACACACCAGAAGGAGAGGATTCTGGACACTCATAAGAAGAAGAAGATAGTAGAGAATTCGAATTGGTCTCTTGTACCCAAGTAACTTTCTGTCTACCCTTGTCCCTGACATACACTTTGCCGTCTTTCATTGTAGATGGAAAGTCAGCATTCTCAGATGGAGAGTCAGCATTCTCAATAATTGGATCATCGGTAATAATAGTCTCAGGAGTCGCAATAACTGATGGTGATGGTATAGTGATATAGGAGTCTCTTCACACCAAGGCTCCCCCTGAAGAGATGACAGGGACACCGGGGAGGAGAGAAAATAAGACTGAGATTCTAAGAAAGACACATCCATAGAGACAAACCATTTGCGAGAGGGGGGATGATAACACTTGTAGCCCTTTTGAGTGGCGGAGTAACCCAGGAAGACACGCCGAAGAGACCGAGGATCCAACTTACTACGGGTAGGAGAATGGTTATGAACAAAGCACACACACCCAAAGGTTTTGGGAGGAATGGAGAAGGTAGCAGAAGCTTGGAAGTCGAACAAAACCTGAAGAGGAGTTTGTTTATGAAGAACCTGGGTAGGAAGCCGATTGATGAGGAAGGCAGCAGTGAGAACCGCTTCCCCCCAATAGGATCGAGGAACGTGCATTTCAAAGGATAAACAACGCGCAATATCAAGAAGATGCCAGTTGTTACGCTCGGCAACACCATTCTGTTGAGGGGTATTGGTACAAGAAGTTTGATGAATAATACCATGAGTGACAAAATAGCTGGCAAGTCCAGAATCGATATATTCCCCCCCATTATTAGAACGCAGAATTTTGACAACTGCCCCAAATTGAGTGCAAAGTATTTTATGAAAATTTTGAAACACAGAAAACACCTCACATTTGTCCTTCATAAGATACACCCAGGTGGTCCTAGAACAATCATCAATAAAGGTGACAAACCATCTTTGACCTTTTAAAGATACAAAACAAGAGGGACCCCATACATCAGAATGAATCAAAAAAAAAGGAACTAAACTTTTATTAATAGAAGGAGCAAAAGAAACTCTGTGTTGTTTGCCAAGTTGACACGACTCAATGAAATTCAGAAACATCATTTTTCAAAAAAACAGAGGGGAAAAGATGCTTAAGTAACAAAAAAGATGGATGCCCAAGACGGCAGTGCCACAGCCAGATGTCTTCCTTGGTAGATGGAAACTGAATGGATGAGTGAGCCAGCTTGTTTGCTTGATCCAAGATATAGAGACCATTCTCGTGTCTACCACTGCCAATCATCTTCCTCATGATAAGGTCCTGAAACAAACAATGATCAGGGAAAAATGTCACACTACAATTTAAGTCCCGAGTAATACAACTCAAAGACAAAAGATTAACACTAAAATTGGGAACATGTAGGACAGAAGATAAAGGAAGAGAAGCAGTGGTATGAATTAAACCTTTCCCAGACACAGAAGAAATGGTACCATCAGCAATTCGAACTTTATCCTGCCTTGAAAAAGGGGTATACGTGGAGAACAAATCAGAAGAACCAGACATGTGGTCGGAAGCACCAGAATCGATAATCCAGGTAATGTTTGATGAGAGAGGAAAGCACTTGTAGAAGAAGCTAAGTTACTTGACTGGGCAATATTACCTGAAGATGAACTAGAGGCCCGACAGTCTAGCAAGTAGCAAAGAGCAACCGCCAATTCAGAAGTAGAAAACTTCGAGATATCAGCAGATAAATCAACTGGAGCTGTGGACTGTGGCTTAACTGCATCAGAATGATGGGCTCGGGCATTGGGCCCACGGCCTCGAGACTGTCCGGAGCGACCCCCACGAGAACCAGAACGATCTCCACGACCTCCAGATGGTTGCCTATGCAACTTCCAACAAGTCTCACGGGAGTGGCGAGAGCGACGACAAAAATCACAGAAGAGAGTATCCTTCTCAAAAGGAGGACGAGAACCACGATCCCTATCTCGAGAGGGGCAGAAACTAGGGCAGATTGATCAAAAGAGGCAGCTGGAAGCATAGTAGAACGACGACTCTCCTCATTCTGTACATAAGCAAACACTTCTTGGAGAGAAGAAAGAGCATCCATACCAAGCATACGACTCCGAACAGGATCAAACTCCACATTCAAACCTTCCAAAAACTTGAAGACTCGCACTTGTTCAACAAATTTCCGGTAACCAGCAGAATCTGTGGGACAGACAGGTTTGTAGTCTTGAAGATGATCAAGTCGCTTCCACCCATTGCTAAGGAAAGTAAAATACTGGAGAATAGTCATCTCACCCTGAACAGACCGGTCAATAGAGCGTCGCAACTCAAAAGTCTGTGAGAAATTAACTTTGCGAGAATACGTAGTGGCCACAGCCTCCCAAATATCCTGTGCTGTGTCCATAGACAAGTATCCCTCACCGATCTCCGGAACCATAGAGTGTATCAACGAACCCATGATAAGAGAATTGGTAATCTCCCACTGATCATAACCTGTATCGGTGATATTGGGAGCCTGAACACGCCCATCAACATATTCCATCTTCCCTTTGCTCTTTAAAAATATAGTCAAACTCTGCGACCACGCTAGATAGTTCTGACCATTAAAGAGAGAGGTGGTGATTTTCTGGCCAGGGTGGAGAGAATCGGTCATCGAAGTAGTCAAAACAGGACTCGCGCCCTGTGGAGCAAGTTGCGAAGTAGTAGACTGTAGACTCACTAGTCAATTCGGCCATAAAGACGTCACGAAGGAACCCTCACAAACACATCTAGAGTGAATCACAAACCCGAAAAGATGGGAAAATATAATAATGAATTTAAAATAAATTTAAGAGAACATTATTATTATTATTTTTTTCTCTTTTTTTTTATTATTTTTTTTATTTTTTTTTGAGAAGACCGTCAGAGAGAGATTACGAAGAGGTGAATACAGACTCAGAGAGACTTACATATTACGAAGACACACAGAGAGATGAAGACGAAAGGGTTACATGGAGAGACCGAGAGAGAGATGTCGACGAAGACAGACCATAGGGCTCCAAGCCAGCCGAGAGAGAGATGCGCCTGTGCCTTCGACTGGAGTCGTGACTCCGATTGGGGCTGTCGGAACCCTAGGTGCCTTCGACTGGGACTGTCAGAACCCTAGGTGGCTTCGCCTGGGGCTTGCGGGCTGAGATGGTGGTGCTGTGGCTTCGCCTGGGGCTTTCGGGCTGAGGTGGTGGTGCTGTGTTGATGCTGTGGTGGTACGTCTAGGTTTGTTTTTGTTTTCTTCTTCTTCTAGTTCTGCTTTGATACCATGTTAATTTTAGAAGAGAAAAAGTTAGGGTATGAGTGGTTTATCATACCCTTTTATATTAAATCATAAACATAAGTTAAGGCCTAAATAAAGGCCCATTACAGCAAATAAACAGACTGAATGAGAATAAAAATAGGAAATATCCTAACACATTCTAACATGTTGCTATAAAGATTTTAAAGTCCTAAATGTGTCCTCAAAATCCAAAGATGAAGCCATGCATTCAGATTAGGATGCATGAACAAAAAAACATCAATGATGAAAGATAAATTGTTCATATGACTATTCAATGGACGAAAGAGTAAGATATATTGTTGAAGAGCACATACAAGTATATTTAATTGTAAGAAGTTTAAAAGAAGAAGAAGAAAGAACACACAGTATGGGAAGTAGAAATTTAGCATAGCAGACCTGAGTTTTCCAAGGACAATACCAGACTCATTAGACCGTTGAAGCCCAATATCTTCAGGTGATATAATCTCGTAAGTATTTTTATGTTTAAGCATTCCATCCTACAAAACATAAAGCATTATAAAGTCAATTTTAAAGGCCTAGACCAATACTGGAGATGAGAACAAAGATGATAAACTTGGGATACAGGAGACATTCGTTTTCCAACTAAGCATTACACAGATTTATATATGTGTATGTACATATTGATGGCAACAAATAAAATTGTGTTAGAGAACGTGCTAGGGGGGCACAACCCTTATACAGGTTTAAAAACCGAAAACAAAAAAAAGAACAAAAGAATAAAAGATAGACCCAACTTCCCTTGTACAATCCAAAGGTGCTTTTTAAACATGTCATTGATTTCCATCTGGCACCACCAGCTTTACCAATAACAGCCACAAATTATTTCTGGATGCTTCTCCTTGAAGAGCCTTATGAACTCTTCCATGAAAATAAAGAAAGCACTAACAAGCTTGTTAGATAAGATCTGTCCTCCAGAATGGGACTGCTCAAGCCCTTTACATGACAACACCTCCCTAAGATTCACAACCAAATTTGACCAGCCGGAAGAATACCATTACCGGTTAGCTTCAGAACTTCAATGAAGATACCTCTACTATTTGAATACTTCTGAATCCAAACCTTAGCATTGCTGCTTCTATATTTCCTGAAAGAAGAGTTTCAATCAATCTGCTTTACAGCCTCAGAGACTGGATAGCCCAAGAGATACCCCCCAAGTCCAAGGTTAATGTGTAACTATGCATTCTATTTCTTTCAGCTATCCTTACCGTTTCCCCTCTCGAGACTTCATCGATTTGAATAATGAATTTTTTTTGTTCAATCTTCGAAGTCCCCAGATCGTTGTACAACCTATACGATCTCATTGAAGCAGAAGAGATGGAATGACGAGGGGAAAAAGAAAAGAAAAGAAAGGAATCACAGAATAGACAATAATATCTGACACTACACTTTCAGCCAAATGGGTATATTTTACTTTGGATTTTATGAGAAGAAAATTAACTCGTAAAAGCTTATTTTACACCTTATTGAGCTGATTTTTTCTTTTAGCAATCAACCTTTCCCTCTACTAGAGACCTCATTGCGTACAGACCTTTTCTTCACTAATCAAAATCTGGGACATTTTTTCTTGTGTGTTTACGACACCATCTCAACCACTTTCAACATGGGTAGATTACATCTATTCAAACAACACCACAAGATACCATTATAAACAGTCGCATTTGTAAAGGAAGGTTCACAACAAAAAATAATTTATTAAAAACAATTAAGATGGTAATGATGTCAGAAAGTAGATGTGCATCTAAAACATGAAGGACAAGAACAATCAAGTAATAAGATGTCATATAAAAGAAAAACATAGCAATGAGTCACATGAATGTAAAAGTTAGGGATACTAAACTGATAAGATGAAACAAATCATTGGATCATTTTTATTACAACAAACCAACCTGATGGATACCACTTGCATGAGCAAAAGCATTAGCCCCGACAATGGCCTTGTGTGGTTGCACATGCAGTCCACTGTACTCTTCAACCTAGAAAAAATATGCATTAATTAAAAAATCATAACAGAAGCAAATTTATTAAGGAGAAAATAGATGTTAAAAGTTGCAAAACAAATCCCAGAAACACGACCATCTTGCTTGACATAACAATCTGTCTTGTATTGATCCCTGTATAAAGTCCTCCAAACACTTGTTCTCCACGGCATTTAAGGGCCATAACAACCTATTTTGGAAGAAAAAAACACACATTAATCGAAATAAAAGTTTAAAATTCAAAAAAAAAAAAAAACCTTAAAAACTTCAGGAAAATTTAATAGAAGTAAAAACTTTAAAAGGAAATCTTAGTTAAAATAATTTAAGGGATGCATGAGCCATACAACACACACACACACACACACAGTAATTTAATTTTGTATTCAGTTTCATTTAGTTTATACACCGAGAATCTTAATGGTTTGATAAAGCATGGATGTTTCAATTGCAAAGGAGTACCGATGTTGTAAAGGCTACATTATGTACTTTTTCAGGGACAGAAGGAATATGAATGAACCCCTGTTTCATTTGTTTCTCTTTTAGGAAATGTTGAGGATGCAAACATGGACAGCAAACACATAGCGCAAAAGATTGATGATTAGAAACCTTGAAAAATAGAAACCATTAGGCTGCAAATTTATATGTACATCCAAATTTAATAATCAAAACAGAATGATGATTAGAAACCTTGAAAATATAAACCATTCAGCTGCAAATTTATATATGATTCCAAATGAAATTGTGTCTGAAGCTTTCACCAAGCCCTATGAAAGGTATTAGATAACTACCAGCACAGGAAGGAATGAAAGCTCTAGCCCTATGCCTCAAAGCCCCATTAACGCAAAACAACAATGAAGATGGAGCACAACATAGTCACTCATCATAGACTAACTGAATCCAGTTTTGAGAAAAGAAATCTTGCAGAAAAAGTCCATAAGCAAATGAAAAGGAGCTAAAAATATTCTTGTTGCTTACTCTAAAGGAGAAGCAATGGAAGGAACATCAGTATCAAGCTCAGAATGCAATTGCATCATTAGGTCCATAAAAGCTGTCTGAAAGCACCATGCAGAGCAACTGTCATGCCCCACTTTTTATTACTCGGAGTCATTACCAAATTCTTTAACTTAATTCAATTTCAGAGATAACATGCGGAAATAAACTCATACATTCAATCCGTAGAAGTGATTAACAATACTCTCATTCGTATGCAAAGTAAATATTACATGAACTAACTTAATAAATTGCCCTTGGGCTTACATCATTAAAAGTACAAGAAGAAGGGTGTAACCCTTTACAACAATGGCATTCCGCCAACATAACAGAGGCCCCGTGGCCAACAAATAAGAAGATCCAAACAGGCACAGTATACCCAACAGTATCAGGGACATTGACAGTTGTAGCCCCTGCATTAATAACTTCACCCAATATCTGATAAAGAAACTTCCTATCAGATCTGTCAAGAACCAAAAGGGAATGATATGTTAACAAGAAGATATTGCCAACAAAGACCAGTATCCTAGCAAGTTGTTTCTAAATTCAATAGGAATGAAATTCAAATAATAATCAATGACAGATACCAAGTTTAACATAGTAAGATCATTAAAAGCTTTTCCAGCTGCCCTAATTCAAAACTACTTCATGAAAAACCAGCAATAAAAAAAATAAAAACATTAGATGTAATATCTGTCTTTCCTTAGATGGACAATAATATGGAAGTTTGACAAAATTCAAATAACTTTGCAACTTAAGACTTCAATATTCTTTTCCTCCCCTCTTTTCTTATCTTGGTTATGAAAAAGTTCTACACCCGAGATTATGAAACCACCTTAAAGCTCAAATAGTACCCTTCGGCAATGCAACAAGAACTATTCATTGGTACAGCTCAAAGTGATTGAAGTAAGACATGATGCAAATAGACTTTAGCCGGCAAAGCTTGGTTCACCTCATTAAACCCTAAAATTTTTAAGAGATTTTATTTCCAACTTAGTTATTTCTCGTTTTTCTTTAATTTCCTTATTAGCTATGTTAGCCATATATATATGGAGGTTGTGGAACATAAACCCTAGAGTAGGTTGTGCCGCCTTTCGTCTTCTGGTTCTACACCACCCTTTCTTCTTCGGAAGTGAGACTATTTCTTAGTTTAGCAGATGGTCCTTCTTGCCCTCACCTTTCCCTTCCTAAAAAAAAATCCCATCAATTGTTCAAATTTTTTTTGCAATCCTAATTGGAATCTTGAATATAGACAGAAAGTAAATTGGGATCCCATTCAAAACTCCTTGTACCAGTGGTGCATCATGTGTGGTGCATCATGTGTAGAAGAAACAGAGAATCTTTAAACCAGTTATTCTTGCATTGCCATCTAGTTCTTAATCTTTGGCGTTGACTCTTTCTTTTGGTTGATTCACTTTGGGTGGCTCCAAGTGTTAGTGTTCACATGCTTTAATTGATTTCCAGGGTTTTGGAGGCAAGAAGATGGCAAAAGTGTAGTGGCTTTGTATTGTCTTCGTAGTCTTTTGTGCTATTTGGTTGGAAAGGAATGTAAGGATCTTTGAAGACAAATTTGAAGATTTGGATTCATTGTGGGATAGAGTGCGTCTCTTGACATTGTTTTGGGCTTTTGTTTCTCCATTGTTTAAAGGGGATCCGCATTGGAGATATGTTTGTGGACTCCTTGTCCTCTTTGTGTCTCTATTTTAATTTTTCAATGAAGGTTCTTTTTGTTGCTGATCAAAAAGAAAAAAAAAACATATATCATGGAACAATTAATAAACAGGAATTAGAAAGCTAGAAACAAAGAAGAAATAGAAATTGCTAGTGACCAGGCACAATATCCTTCATTATTAATCAGAAGTTGTGAAGACTCACGCAAGATAGAACAAATAGAAATTTTTTGGAATTCCAGTATAAAACATATTTCAACCCTTCAATATTCAATGAAGAAAATATAGAAAACACAGTTTTCGCTATTATCAATAAGCAACTCCAATTATTGGTGACAACTTCAAAATTATCACCAATATTGGGGTACTGGCTGTCGATCAACTAATGCTACATCATCTTAAGCATAGGAAGATTTTCAAATTTGGATTTAACTTATTTCCTCAGCAAACTAATTTTACCAAACTGATCTTTATAACCAATCATCTTGTTTCTCAACAAAACTCGCCACTTTTTGTGAGAAAACAAAATAAGCAAAATAAGAGTGTTATCTTTCTCACCATTTCTCACATAATTTATAAACCAAACATGAGAAAGAGTCATTTCTCATCAAATCACCCCATCCAAATAGAGTGTTAGCTCTATGACCCTCCAACTCAAGTAGATTATAAAACTATAATGAACCAAGCCAAACAATTGAGTTTATCAAGGATCAAAAACCGACCTTCCAGCATCCTCTGGATTGAACGCAACGTCATCACAACCCAAACTCCTTGCATACCTCACCATACTCCGCGCCGTCTCGACCACCTCTTCCCTCGTCTTCTTCAGCTTAAACTCCATGTGAATTTCGCTCGTGGCGATAAAAGTACTAATCCTCGGCCTCTTGGCATACTTCACAGCCTCCCAAGCCGCATCAATATCCTTCTTATTACACCTCGCGACACCACAAATCACAGGCACATACCCATTCTCATCCACCGCATTACCAACCTCCTGAGCAATGATTTTGACGGCCTGGAGATCGTCTTTGGAGGAGGCGGGAAAGCCGGCCTCGATAATGTCGACGCCGAGCTTGGAGAGCTGCCGGGCGATGTCGAGCTTCTCCTTGCTGGTCATGCTGGCGCCGGGGGACGGTTTGCCGTCGCGGAGGGTGGTGTCGAGGACGCGGACGTAGCGGGGGTCGGGGATGCGGTTGGGGATGTAGTTTGGGCGAGTGACGGAGGAGCAGAGGATGGAGACGAATGGGGTTGGTGTTTTGGGGTGAATTGAGGAATGGAGAAGGAAGCGAGTTTGGGTGGGGGTGGAGGAGTGGGAGATGGGAGTGAAATTGAGGTTTGTGAAGAGAGACGCCATGGATGCAGGGAGAGAAGCTTGAATACGTCTCTCTCTGTCTCTGTGGAGGAGAGAGGGAATTGATGGAACAGTGGGGTTGAAACCTTATCTTTTTTTTCGGTACAACGGAAATGGGAGGTTGAAACCTTATTGAGAGAGAGCAAGTGCTGAGGTTTATGGGTGAAAAATTAGAAAAATGGTAGGACCCAAATGTTTTTGAAATCAGCAATGATTGAGGGTCACAATTTTTTTGATTTAAATAGCTTGAAATTGCTAAAACGACGTCGTTTTGAGTATAAAACAACTTTAAAATTGTCAAAACGACGTCGTTTTGACAATTTTAAGCCATTTGAGCCACAAAAATTGTGGCCCTCAAACATTTTCCTTTTGAAAAATACTAGGGATTAAAAGTTTTACCAAATTTTTTTTATTAAATGTTTGTTTGGAATGTTCTAAATAAATGTATTTTTTGATTTGTTATGAAATATGTGTTAGGTTTGAAGTGGTGTGATAGAGAATAAATGTGATTTAAATAAGATGATGTGACTTAAATAGGATAGTGATTTTTTGAATTTTTTAGTATATGTCAAATAAGGTCTAAGTGCTTGTTTGGGATTGTCTATAAAAGATAAAAAGATAAAAAATTAAAAAATTATTACAAAAAAATTAAAAATTATCACTATTCACTAAAAATGAACAAAAAAAAAAACAAACAAGAAAAAAAAAAAAAAAAAGGACACAAGCCAAATTTGAATTCGCGGACGTAGCGGGGGTCGGGGATGCGGTTGGGGATGTAGTTTGGGCGAGTGACGGAGGAGCAGAGGATGGAGGCGAATGGGGTTGGTGTTTTGGGGTGAATTGAGGAATGGAGAAGGAAGCGAGTTTGGGTGGGGGTGGAGGAGTGGGAGATGGGAGTGAAGTTGAGGTTTGTGAAGAGAGACGCCATGGATGCAGGGAGAGAAGCCTGAATACGTCTCTCTCTGTCTCTGTGGAGGAGAGAGAGAATTGATGGAACAGTGGGGTTGAAACCTTATCTTTTTTTTCGGTACAACGGAAATGGAAGGCTGAAACCTTATCGAGAGAGAGCAAGTGATGACGTTTATGGGTGAAAAATTAGAAAAATGGTAGGACCCAAATGTTTTTGAAAAATACTAGGGATTAAAAGTTCACCAAATTTTTTTTATTAAGCGTTTGTTGGGATGTTCTGAATAAATATATTTTTTGATTTGTTATGAAATATGTGTTAGGTTTGAAGTGGTGTGATAGAGAATAAATATGACTTAAATAAGATGATGCGACTTAAATAGGATAGTGACTTTTTGACTTTTTTAGTATATGTCAAATAAGGTCTAAGTGCTTGTTTGGGATTGTCTAAAAAAGATAAAAAGTTAAAAAATTATTAAAAAATTTAAAAATTATCACTATTCACTAAAAAGTACAAAAAGAAAAAAAAAAAGAAAAAAAGACGCAAGCCAAATTTGTATTGAAGTGATGGTACAAACTCATGTGTAAACACGAACATGTTAAAAAAAAAAAAAAAAAAAAAAAACAATTAGATGAGGCTTTCCTCTAGTCCTTCATCGGACTAGAGGGTACTGTTGGGCCTGTGAGGACCCACCATTGGTTCCGTTTTGATAATCCGAATCGTTCAATGTGTAGAACTCGTTGAGTACTATATGCTTGTAAAAAAACACGTTAATCGGATATCGATAGCTATGTGTTCAAATCAGATTTTTTTCAATCGTTTATTTTTCACCATCTATTTTTTTTTATACAAAACTAATTTGATCACATAATTATCGATATCCGATCAATATGATTTTTTACAAACATATAGTACTCAACGATTTCTACGCGTTGAACGGTTCGTATTATCGAATCGGAACCCGTGGTGGGTCCCTACGGGCCCAATAGTACCATCTAGTCCGATGAAGGACTGGAGGAAACCCTCATCTAATTGTTTTTTTTTTGTTTTTTTAACGTGTTCGTATACACGTGAGTTTGTACCATCACTTCAATATATATATAAATATATTTTCTGAAGCATGCCTGCCCACCATCTCATTTCAAAGCAATTCGTACTAGGTCCTGCAATCCGTACTGGTTCTTTCAATCATCATTATCAGTACGCATAGGGCACATGGGTAATACAGTAATTTCGCTATTTTATACAATATTTTAATACACATTTTTTAATAAAAATTCAAAAAGTTATCCCAAACAATCTTTTTTTTTTCTCTACTTTTCATCCAAAAAGTCAAAAAGTGCATTTATATAGTTCATCTCAAACAACCCCTAAATGTTTTATATGAGTATGAGATTTATATTAGTATGTGGGTCTTATGTAAGTTTTACATTTATATGACACATTTGATAAAAAATTTAATAAAATTTTTAGGGTCTTTAATGTTACTTAATAGAGATACTAAATTTTTTACCAAATAAATAACCAAATGTCTTACACTATATCCATATGAGACAGTTGATCATTTATTTGATAAAAAATTTAAGGTCTATAACATTTTCCTTTTTAAAATGTTTTAAAGATGTACGACTTATATTATATGGGTCTCACGTAAATTTCACACTTATATAAAATATTTAATAGAATATTTAGTAAAATATTTAGAGTTCTTAACATTACTTGAATAATTATTTGGTACTCCACCGTCTCCACGTGACAATATTCTTATCAATTATAAATTTTCATGTCTCCGTATTTAATTATCTAACACAAAATCATGAATCTTATTTTTTTTTTCTTCCAATCACAACATCTTGGACTAAAAATGGCAACGGGCCGGGGCGGGGGCGGGGCCGGGGGTTACACTCCCCGTCCCCGATCCCCGAAAATATAAAATTTCCCGTCTTCACCCTCTATCCCTAGCGGGGAACTCATCACTCCCCCTGCCCTCGTCCTCACCTCCGAATGGGGATCGTATTTTTTTGAATTTTGCATATCTCATTATATTTATTTATTCTTTGAGGTAAATAAAAATAATATTATAATATATATAAAAACATAATGCAAAAATATCCAAAGATAAATATCCAAACAAATAAGCAACACAACAACATAAGATAGTAGCAACAGCACAAAGGGTAATCTCACACACTCAACCCATACATGAGCAGCATAAGGCCTGTAACACATAAACAGCGCTGGTGAGAGACAGAGGAGCGGCAGTGTAGTGTCTTCGTAATCTTTTGAGCTATTTGGTTGGAGAGGAATGTAAGGATCTTTGAAGGTAAATTTGAAGATTTGGATTCATTGTGGGATAGAGTGCGCCTCTTGACATTGTTTTGGACTTTTGTTTCTCCATTGTTCAATGAGGATCCGCATTGGAGATATGTTTGTGGACTCCTAGTCCTCTTCTTGTCTCTATTTTAATTTTTCAATAAAGTTTATTTTTATTGCCGGTCAAAAAGAAAAAAGGAAAAAAAGAAAAAAAAAAACATATATCATGGAACAATTAGTAAACAGGTATTAGAAAGCTAGAAAAACAAAGAAGAAATAGAAATTGCTAGTGACCAGGCACAATATTCTTCATTATTAATCAGCAGTTGTAAAGACTCATGCAAGATAGAACAAATAGAATTTTTTTGGAATTCCAGTATAAAACATATTTCAACCCTTCAATATTCAATGAAGAAAAAATAGAAAACACAGTTTTCGCTATAATCAATAAGCAACTCCAATTATTGGTGACTACTTTAAAATTATCACCAATATTGGGGTACTGTGGCTTTCGATAAACTAATGCTACATCATCTTAAGCATAGGCAGATTTTCAAATCTGGATGAAAAACCAACTTTTTAACTTTTTTCCTCAGCAAACTTATTTTACAAAATTTTAGAGTGTACAAATGCATTACTTATCAAATACAAAGTTATCTGGGTTTTTTTAGTGAGCATCAAACACAAACATTTTTTTTCTTCAAAGATCAATGTTAAAAATTCTCAAAAATTTCTCCAAAGTTGCCTTGCCTCAACATGAAACCGTGAAAGCGTTCAAAAAGATTCAATTGGACTTTTTTTTGCAGCTCCTTGATCATAGCCACTGTGGAAGAACAATATAAGAGAGGAGACATGAAATTTATGTGGTTCGGCCGTGATGGCCTACATCTACCGTAGAAGATCAATAACACTATTTTAGTTTTTCACTCAAATGAATACACATGAATGCTAGGGGCGGAGGGACATTGGGCTCAGGAGGTCACGTGCCCCCCGACTTTTGATTTTTTTAAATTTTTTTTCTTATATTTTTTAAGTGTGGTCTGCCTTTCACACATAGATTGTGTCCCTCTTAATACACAATTTTAAACCCACTAACCCACTGACACACACCACACGCACGACGCACCCACGGTTGTATATTTATTTATTCATTTTTTTTTAATATTTTTAATCGCAATCCCAATTAACAATTGACACACAACTTTTTTTTAAGTGAGTGCACACAACTCCAATTACAGCAAGGTTAAAACTCTAAAACCCTAAAAGTGTATGAAATTCTTTATTTTTTTATTTATTCATAGTATTTGTGAAGTATCTTCGTATTTGTTTTGTCTTCTTTATCTCCCTTTGTTACTTTGCAATTTACCGACTCGCGATTCACCAAATTAGGATCACACAACACATATTTGGGACCACATTACAATCTTGGTATCTTCTTTTCATTGTTTACAGGTAACTTTATTTTTTTTTTTTACTTTTAAATAAAAATTATGAATATTAATTTATAATTATTTGTAAAGTTTTGATTTGTAAAATTTTTTTATTTGTTATTATTTATGTTAAAATAAGAGATTTTGATATGCTAAAATTATGAATCTTAATTGGTGGTGATTTATATTAAAATTAGGGATTTTGGTTTGTTGTTGTTTGTGCTAAAATTAAAAATA